ATCTTGTGTATCCGCGCCCTATGAAAATTTCATATTTCATTCATTTCATTATTTAATTATTTCATTTCTTCTTATAAACAAAGAAAGCAGCAGTCAAAGAAAATATTTTAAAAAACTTTAAGTTTAGTAAAATTTAATAAAAGGAAAAGAATAATTAAACACACTGGTAAAAGCATATCAACTGATGACTTATTTGAAGTTTTTGATGTTTTTTCTTTCGAATTATTCATTTTCAATCGCTTGAACTTATAAATGCCTATATGAATTAATCCATCTGAAAGAAAGCAAAACTGTAAAACTACTATTAAAAAATGTTAAATTTACGAAAAAACTTCAACATGATATTCGACGTTCACAAAAACACAACGATTACTTCGGAAATAACAACAATCCATATATAACAATCCATATTAGCACTTTTATTCGTCATATTATTTCCACTTTTCTATAAATTATTATCTTCGCAATACTTTTGTCAATACAAAATTAATTCACATTAAAACTGTAATAAGTTTGACATCTCTTTACAGAAAAAGAAACAAAGACTGTGCCCTTGTAGAACTTTTAAGTACCACTGCAAAACAGAAAATTGAGGGGGCACGTGAAGAAGTCAATTGTGAAAGCTTTTCACGAGAGTGATCAGGGCTTTTAGAAAATTTAATTACAGCTTAATTCATTATTATTATTCTAAAAGTTCGTACAGAAAATTCGAAACTTCAATACAAAACAGAAGAAATTCAAAAAAGCTTGAAAATCAAATGAAAAGAACTGGGAGAAAAATTCGTTACGAAGGAAGTGAATAAATTATAAATTGACGACCATTAAACTATTCCCAAACCAAAGTTTTGAGAAATTTTAAACCTGAAACGAACGCACAAACCAGCACTCAACAATAACTTCCAATTTTTTTTTCCAGAAAAAAAAACAACAAAACTCTACCAACCGTTCAATGTATGAATTCACAATTGGCTAAAAGCCAACGATTTTCCATTCAAAACAAACGACCTGTTTGAAAAATTTCACTACCAAATTAGCTTTAACTTTTAGGATTATCTCTTTTCATCGGCACTGCAGAAAATATGAAGCCATTAGCCGAATACCATGAGATTGGCCTTGATTTGTTCACGCCGTTTCATCAAATTCATAGATCACATAACTTTTGTTTCTTGCAACTTACACGGTTAAAATCCACACCGATTTATTTGCAGGTATTCCTGTAAACATTCCGGCATTGCACAAATGTCCAAGCGAAATTGTTTTCTATCAAATGAAAATTTATCAATGAAGCTCATGCTGAAGAAAAATGACTCACTAGAATAACTGAAACGCTATGGAGGTCATGATTGAGATGAAATATCCTCATGGATGAATTGAGAACAACTGCTATGAAAAAGTTCGAAGCATTGATTGCACTAGTGCTCAATGTTCAAAAATTTTTTTTTCGTCGTTAGCTTTGCCAGGGATTCACTTGGTTGATGGGAATAAAATTCCGACAATTAAGCAATTAATCCATATGATTTAACAGGAAGTCCTAGATTTCCCGAAGATACTTTTCCCTTCCTCCCAACCGAATCCTAGATTTATAATGAACCTAGCCTAGATATATTATTAACAGCAGCCACCAATGTACTTAATAAGATGAAGCGATGATTCGGCCATTTAATCGAATTTCGGACCAAATCGGCTACGTCCCAATCCATTGTTTTTGAAGTTTATTCAAGTTTACTTCTGAAGTTTTTGAAGTATAAATTCAGTCTCATAACTTTTATGCGCAATTGTTGCAGCAGTCCCAGCGCTTATTTGGTGCATAAGGTATGGTATTTACCTGAAGGTTTCCAAAGACAAATCACTTCCGTACTCTCTGCGTCCAATGCTAAAATATTACCCAAGGACAAAATCGTCCATAGACAAATCAACGGCCAAACAAGAGAACATCGAGGTGCAAAACTTTACAAGATCTGTACTTCATTCACCAACAATTTTCATCCAATAACGAAAAAGAAATTAACCAAATTTTCTCATTTAAATTCAGTTTAATCCTCTGATATAGAAATAAGCACTCCACAACGAATACGACTATCTTAAAAAAAACTTGAAAATGTTATTAAAAAATGTTATGATCAACTTTACGCAGTGCTATTGAAGGCTGATAAATCCATATTTTTTTTTCTTAGACTGGAAACTTAATTCACGACACTTCGCTCCTTGAGATCATTATGATCCTTTGATATTATCATCTACTGCTTTTTATCATTATCCCTTAGGGATTAGAACTTGGGGCTATTTACAAAATAAATATCAATTAATATTGGTGTTTCATTAGCGTTGTTTCAATTGAACATAGAGATCCGATAAAGAGATCTCAAATTGGAGTTATAAATGTTTTCCACGAAAAGTATCAGCGGATAAACCCTTTCGCCATATGCGCCTACTAAATGATTTAAACAAATTACGTGGAATAATTTCAAAAAAACTCCGACCCATTTCAAGCAAAAAACAGGGGCTAACTAGCTAAGAGATTATAAAGTTGGGAAATGCATGCTACATGGACTCGCCAAAACAGGGAACAGCGAATAAATACGTGTTCTTCTTTTTGAAAATCGAAGAAAATCTTTTTGGAATAAATTCACTAGATATAAAAAGTGGGTTAATTACGATGTTCTAAAACCATAAACCCAGCACAATCAAGGCAACCAATCGCGAAATCTTGCTTAGACGTTGCATGTGGCGCTGCCGCAAATGTCTCATGAGCTGCTGAACAGCGGTGAAATATTTACTGCCGAATATTACAATGGCCTTTAACGTTTAAACGTCGTATTAGAAAAGAAAGGTCAATTCATAAGGATCAGACACTCTGCAAATAATTCCATATAACGCTTAACCTCATATGGCAATGGAATCTAACTCAAGAACGCAACGCAATGAACCACTTCCAATTTGGTTTCAGAAATTCTTCCATATATGGGATATCCTTCACTCCCGACTCCATCAAATGATCTTTTAAGCCAGCTTAAAGATATGGACGCAGTTTGAAGTTTCTTAGATGCTTATTTTGTTTCGAAACAGTCATTTTATTACGAGAGAGTTTACAGACTGTCATAAAGATGGTTGAAGGGAGGACAATCAAAAATATTGAATTGTTAGAACTTTATAACTGATTTTTCACTTACTTTAAACAAATGTTAGAAACTTATGCACAGATCCTAATGATTAATGGAATCACACAACAAAATTTTAATTTTCTGCATGAACAAAACTTTTTTACTCAGAAAAACGTACAAATAATCTTCAAATGCATTCTGATAGAAATAAAAAAAATTTATCAGCGAAAAATATAAAACAAAGACAAATGAAAAATAGTAAAGTAAAAACCACTAAAATGGGCACAGAGAAATGATGAGCTCGGTATGCCATTTCCCTATAAAAAATCACCGATATACTGAACAGTGAAATAACCTGATATTCAGTTTCACCAAGCCATTAAACAACCAATCGCCCACATTACTTTTTTAAATTAATTTTTTCATTATGTTAAAATTATGTTAATTAATTAATTAATTTAATTTTTATGTTAATTAATTAATTCTTTACCCACCCAACTCAGCAGACTACTAATATGTCTTCCCTAGATACAGTCAATTTTTGTTAACCATTTCGAATAATATCTACAAAAAGAACGTTGAAAACAAAAAGGTATAATGCACAGTACTGAATAATAACCCGACAAATAAGGCCGATTAAGTTCTACCAAAACAAATATGCATTTACAAAGTATGCATTTCAGAAACTAAAAATCATTACAACGGGCACAAAAATCGCTCAATTTTCACTGATTCATCAAAATTAATCATCTTTAAGCAAAAATAAAACAATTACCCACAATTATATGTGACATAATATACTCGTCACTCACCATGATTACGTCAATTCCTCAATTTAATAAATGCAAAAAAATAAGTGAAAAAAAAAGAAAAACAAATGAACCAGCTGCAGAAAATAGAACTAAAATACAAAGAGTCGAATCAAACACCAAATATCCATATATCTGACTTAGCATTTTCCCAATCTCTTAATATATATAAAGCAGTAAAAAATTTCCCCATCGGTGATATTTCCAATAATGTTGCCACATAAACAATCATGATTATATAATAAATATTACGATAATAAAGTTCACGTGAGCTCAGTGAATAAAGCCATATGAAATGATAAGAATATAAGAGTTTGATTAAAAAAAGAAAAAGCTAGTCTCATAAGTAACATCAACTATTTCCATTTAATATTTGTTTAATAGGACCACCTTAAAAACACACCAAAATTTACAAAATTTACATAAACCTAAAAAATCTAATCACCTAATATTGAGAGACAAAATTTTCTACTTTTGTTTACAGCAGCAGCAAACCTGTCGCTAAAAAGTCCTTGCGGTGCTGGCAGCTCAAATCTTAAAAGAAAAGTAAAACAAGAGACAGTTTCTCACAAATAATTTGTTTGGCATGTTTATAAAATGACCCGAAAAAAGTTCAAAATGGTTAAAGTGACAGCAATGATGATCACACTGAGATGAATGAATTTAAAAAAAAAAAGCGAATCACATTCACAAAGTGAGAGAAGAAACGTAGTATTAAGTATAAAAATCCAATGTATAAAATTTAAGCAATTATGCAATTGTATGAAAATATTTACAAGTTGAATTCCCTTTCTAAACTATTAAGCAAAAGATAAAATCACTTTTTAGAGCTTATTTTTAAAAAGTCCTTACAAGGCAAAAAAATAATTGTTAATAAAATCCAATTTAATGCTCAATTACTGATGAAAAATAAATTTTCCTTTCATTCAGTCAAATTCATTTCCTACAAACAATGTTCCATCATAAATTATAAAAAATTAAAAGATATGCGTTTCAAGAAAACTATAATAGAAGATTCAACGAAAATAAAATTCAAAAGAAAAGATTCAACGAAGACGAAGATAAAATTCAAAAGAAATGATAACAAAGATCAAAGATTTTCAAAATTCCTTCCATCACCGAGAGGTGTATTTAATGATGTTACTTGAAATGCAGTTGGCTGCTGCTGGTGACAAGGTGTTAAGCCCGTTGGACCATCTAACAAATTAACACCGCCAAATTCCGATCCAACTGCAAAAAAAAATAAAATTGTAAAAATCAACGCATATAACACTATTTTCAAACAAGACGTTGATTTAACATTAGATATTAATGAAGCTGAACTATATAAAGCATCTTTAATATCATAAGGAGCAACGAATAACATGAAAATAACCCAATTGGGCTGAAGAATTCATGCATTATCAATATCTAAAATTAAGAATATATACTTCAAAAATTTGCAGAAAAGAATATGGCTGAAGTATATTTAACTTTTTTTAACCATTCATATCATTCCCTTCAACCATTCATTCCCTTCACAAAGACAATAAGAAAAACCTGATCCAACAATAAGACTTGATGGCGTCGTAATTGATAACGCCGAATTACTGATATTTGAATAATTGTTTGAATGAACTGCATTGACTGCATCAGTAAACGCCAACGATGTTGGTCGTTTTATTTCTTCATCAACTAAATCTGGCCCATTCATTTCATATAATGTTGGATCAGTTTTAAATTCTTGTTTCAGATGCATTATCTAAAAAAAAACAGAGGCAAATTTTTTCATTAAACAAATGTCTGGTAGAAAAAACACCGGAAATAAGAAAAATTTTTTTCCCAATATTCTTTTATCATTGGTGGTATATAAGCAAAAAAAAACAAAACATATTTTTTCATTTAAAAAATTTCCGATTGAAAAAAAATCAACTAAGCGACCAAAAATTAGACTGAACGATAAGAACAGTTTAAAAAAAGAAACCTTATTAACACCGGAATTATTCTGATTTGAACCATCTAATGAAATATTTCTGCTTTGAGTTTGTTGCTGCTGTCCACGTAAATCGGGTATCATTTCACTAGCTGGTCTTTTATGATTAATCAGAGACGACTGCGTTGTATTTGCATTAAACTGACCACCATTCATATCAACTGAACTGGTTGTATTATTTCGAGGCATATATTGATGAGTACTTGACATATCAACATCTAATGACTGCCTCAACGTTTCTGGTAAAACACATTGATGTTCATGAATTACGGCCAATAATTCATTCTTCTGAAAATTTATTATATAATTATACAAAACGTTATCTTTCTTGATCAGATCTCAAATAAAAAAAAGGAAATACCAATAATTGAAGATCAGCGATCTTTGAATCTTTCATTTTATTTTCTTCTTTTAACTGATCCACTTGCTAAAAGAAAAATTTTAAAAGCTTGTCAAGTTATATAACTTGAAATGACATCCTTTTCCACTTTTTCGTATATCCACAAAAAAAAATTTGATTAAAAATGATAAAACTTGACCAAAATTTGACTAAATTTTTACCACGGTTGGTAATTTATTCCAATAATCTAAATTTTAAGTGGCAAATATGTCTACATAAATTCAATCTATTTACTGCATCTTGTATCAGGATTTAATGATAATTCATATTTAAAAGGGCATAAATCAACAAAACCAAATATTTTTCAAGTCATATCAGACCTTGTTTAATCCTCGAGAATCTAAATAGTACAACATAAATTTATCTGCACAATTAATTAATGGATCAGAACTCAGACTTTTAAGCACTTTCAATGAAACAAAGAGATTTACTGAATCGAGGGTAACAACAAAGTGTTGTGTAAATGTGCCAAGGCTAATACTTTACATATAAATGGTTTCCAGCCTATATTTGACGGTTTTAAATAAAGAATTCAATATTCTGGAAGAGTTATTTATCTGCCACTCAAATTTTTGGTAGAAATTTACTTAAATATTACGATCACTATCAACGAAAATTAAAAATTGTTCGAGGGTTTTAAATTAATATGTAGAATCTTACATTTACTTCTTTTTTCTTTTTGCAATCACACTTAGCTACATCATTTAAATCATCTGACCTTATTTATAATATATTTCACAGTCGTTAGCATATAAATATATATATGATCACATACACATTAGAGGAGATAGCACTGCCACCATATGCATAATAAAATAAAAGAACAAAAGAACAAAATACAGCTATCTTGAGAACCATCTCACTGACATCACTAAATAAGTGTTGATGACACGACATTAACAGCTTGAAAGCAACCTTTTCAGTCCACTATTATTGGCGGAACGATGGCCGAGTAAATAGTGATTCATGTTTGGTTCCAGCTAAAGAGTGAAGAAGGGACAGGAATGAACTAACCATTCAAAAATTCGGTTACTGTCAACTCGTACTTCTATAGCCAAATAAATCCCTAGCAAAAATCGCATTAAAAGTCAGCGGGAGAAGTCTAACCAAAATAGTAAGCGGGAACGATTTACTATATTTTCCCACATGCGCGAAATAAAATAATGTCATATTATGTCAAAATGAAAAAGCAAAAATAACGAACGCTTTGTAATGAACCCATAAGGTCGAGTCGTCTTTGACGACATCGTGCTGCTGCTTCTTTATTGCGTAAACGCCTTTTATCACGTTTGTCTCGTTCTTCCTCGCTTAGTGTTACGTGATCCTAAATTTCTAAATTTATAAACAAGACAAACGATAAGGAAAATAAACAAAATTAGTAAAAAAAAACAAACATATTCTTCAAATTCTTTCGGTCTTCGACCACCTCGTTTAGCATTACCGGAAATCGGTCGAGTAAGATTAGTTTGTAAATAAGTATTTCTTGGTTGCTGATATGATTGTGGCATCGATATTATATACTGTGGAGATGATGATTGTTGATAATCCGCTATGCCTTAAAAAAATTACTATTATAAATATTACTCCTCTTCGTCGTTTTCTGATTTCATATGGATTTTACTTAAGCTATATGAAAAATATCATCCTTTTCTTCTAAAGTAAACGTGCACCAGCACACGGCGTTATACCTTTCCTAGTTTAAAGAAATAAATCTACAAACCCTAAAACTTCCAACAACTATTTAGTATAACTTGTTTTTCTTTTGTATGAAAAGATATCGCTTTAAAGATTTACTCTTTATTCTTTTTTACTAAATATTACAAGTTAATCGTGTTATTCTTTTTTACTAAATATTACAAGTAAATCGTGTCAATTCTTTCAACTTAATTTTTTTATAAAAATACTATAAAACAATAATACTACTACAACAACCAAGTGGATGAAGGCGATCTGCAAATCCGTATATATTATTTGTTGTTGTGTTCGATAGGCCTGTTATACGATTCGCTGATGTTGCTGCAGTTGTAATCGTTGTAGTTTGTGTTGTTCCTACCTGTAAAAAAAAGCAAAAATTTTGCTTTTACACAAAAGAAATACCGCATAAATCTGAAAAAAAGACTTAAAAACCCAATTAAATTAGCTTACAACTTACAATTTAAAATATGCAACATACGGTTAAAATTATAGTTCGCCTCCTTTTAACACTCACGAAGAAATCTCATGAACATTATTTTTCTGTAAATTTTGCCAGTTTAACTCAAAAAAATAAATTAAAAAATAATTAAAAGAACCTCATTTAAAAAATGATGGTTAGCAAAACACATCTGCAAAACATTTAAATCGCTGAATGATTGTGACAAGCAATCATAGTAATGTGGTTGAAATAGATTTCGTCCCGATAACACAGCACTTGAATTATAGTAATCATGCTTTACAATCGAATTACTACATAAACACTTGTTAGATGAATCGCTTGGTGTCCTATATCCTCTTACCTCATCATCATATGTCGACTTAAGAAATGTTGATGGCGATGAACAATTTTGTGATTTGGGTGATAAATTTATCAGTGATGTTCTATGATGAATATGTGATGAATTTGTTGTTGATAATGTTGATGATAATGATGACGATGATACTGACGAATGAAAATGTGATGAGTTTAACGAAAATTGTCGCGATAAAAATGCATTATCGTTGTTACTATAAATACATCTTTGAAGTATTTGTCGATTACTATTAGTCAGCTCTTGTTGATTCATTGTTTTTATGCGAATTAAGTTACATAAATTTGTGAAGTTGTCTGTCAAAAAAACCAATTAATCAAAAAATTCAACGAACATAATAATACCACACCATACTGTTATCAGAAAAAAATTTGTATTCATAGAGGATTCGATTTAAAAATGAGAAAGACAAAAAAATGAAAATTACTGGAGAAAAAAATTAGACGAAATATGGGATGTAAAAAAAACATTTTTACCAAGAGTTACCGAATATAAGGTTACAATATTCTAATTAATATCCTTACATTTCATTAATGTATTTATAGCAACAGGAGCAGAGGAGAGCCTTTAATGCTAAAAATGGAGAGGGTGAACGCCAAACAAAAAATTATTCATCAGAAAACACACACACCTCTTTTCTCACACTAACAATTCTAGTGAAATATATCTTATTTATTGTTATTATTATTCTAAAGAATAGCATGACCATGATTCAAATGCTTTTCTCCTCCTTTCAACCAGCAGCACATAAATCAACGAACAGCCTCAGCTTCTTCTCCTTAAACCAAGATAACTATTCCATTTTATTCCTTTTTACTTCATTTTGGAAAAACTCATTTTATCAATCTTTTACTAACTTTATACCATACCTTGTTACCTTTCATTTGCATGTAAAATAAAAATTCAGCTAACTGGAATGAAATGTAAAAAAAGGTAAGATATTTTTTTTTTAAATAACTTTATCGAAACATCGATACATAATGATGTAGAATCTAATTATTTAAGCAGATAACTACTTCTATATATCTTATCTGTATATATCTGAAATAATATGTATATATCTTATGTTTATGAAATTTGCTATAAAACTCGAAATTTAATTTAAATTTAACTTACATTTAATTCTTTTAACAAATATTGGATGAACGGGAACTTGGAAGACACAACTGATTTAAATTAAAACAAAATTTTCTTCGCTAAACATCACCGTTGATAAAATTTCCTTCAAAAAAAAACTATCCTTAAGACAAGCTACATCTTTACAATAAAATCCTACGTTGAATGAGGAAATTCAATTCAGAACCTCATCCTAAAAAGCAAAAAAAATAAACGACTGCGCACACTATTTCATAGTTAGGCTGTTTTGGCAGCGAGTCACTTGGCAATCGAATACGCCATACAGAAATATTATACTTTATCTTTTCTTCCCAAAAGGATAAAAAATCGTTAAAAATTGATAAAATCATTTCCCACAATCAAATATTCCATTTCGATTTTCTCAAAAAACCGCGAAATAATTTCATTTTCACCTACGCTAAAAAATTTTTTTCGCATTCACAACTACAATAAAATAAATTCCCTAAATTTTCCTCTAAGAATTCCCCAGTTAAATCAAAAATTTAATTTAAATTTACCAAATAAAACCTTAACAAATAATTTTTTGCAGCAACCATTTCCTCTCAATTAAAGAATAACGGAACAAGAAAATTCATCAAGTTTTAACTTAATTTTAAAACGTTTGATGCCTAAAACCTTTAAAAAGAATTGAACCGTATAGCAAGTATTATACTATGTATATCCTTATATTGCTTAATCTTCAAAACAGACAGGTCCTTTAAGTTTAAATGGAAAATACATTTAGTAACAAAAAACTACCAGAATATGAAAAATTTTTACAAAACTTGTTTAACATGCACAAAAAATTTGACGAATAATACTGATAAATCTGTAAAAAAATTATTAATAAAACAATTTTTATTGGAAAAATTTGTTGAAAAAATTTTTTTGGACGAGAATAAATTTGAAAAATAATCCATGCAATACTTTATAATACCGTAACATTCCTCAACATACTGTATTTATTGCCTTAATTTTGTTTAGAATGCATTAAGTAAATATACTTAATATTTTTCATATATCCCCCACAAACTACAATAAAACAATTTTATCAATTGATAATTTTTTTAAAAATTTTTTCTTTCATAAATCCAAAAATATTTTTGTATTCCGTAATCATTTTTTAAACAAATTATACGAATCTGAATATGAATTCCCTAGTATTTCGCTATTTCTTCCAAATGTAATTTTCCATTCATTACATATTTTTCACAGGATGGGAAATTTTCTTATACATTATTCTGAGAAAAAACGCAGACGTCGTAATGCAGATCAAAGTAATATACACCATCTTATTTATAATAGCAAAGAAATATGACCAGTGTGAATAGAAGATACCTGGAAGTTATCTACCTTTGACCATTCTAGCGAACGATAATCCTTTACAGATGTGACAAGTGCATCACATGATTGCATTCATCTTCACTCGAATACGACTTGCACTAATAAAATCGTCTAAAAGCGTCGTCTGCGCTGTTAGGACATATCCTTCATCGCCCATCACAGGAACTGACGCTACTTCTAAACGGTGTTATGAACTGGAATCAAAGGGAGGGTCAACTAGAACCTGAGCCGATATAGTTAACAGGCTTATACGATGGAAACAGGATCCGCTCCAGTTACTTCTAAACATGATTTCGGATTGGGAAGCTTGGATAAACGTCATCCTAAAACCAACAATATTGCGAATTGTTGAGTCGAACACAAAAGCAAGAAGAACGCTGATAGTAAGCAAACCACTATTCATCATTATTCATAACATCTGATTTTTTCTCGATAAATTTCACACAGCTTTATCAGTGAAACATTATTAAAATATCTAGAGGAGAATTTTCAAATTTATATAAAAATAAATTCAAATTTAAAGAAACAAAGCAAAAAAACCATTCTTTGAAGACGATTGTCCTTCTACAGTAAAATTTTCTTCAAAAAAAAAGAAACATTTCTTATTATTGTTATAAAACAAAAAAAAGAAATTGTTATTACTGTAAAAGAATTCTTTCAATACAAAATACTTTGTTACGACGAAAACTTTTCTTCAATAAATCGGCCATCATTTTTTTTTATTGAAATTCCTTTTGAGATAGCAAAAAAAAAAGAAAATCGTCCACAAAAATTTCGGAGGGATTTTATATTCACGTATAAATTTTAAATTTTTCAATAATTTAAAGATTTACAATTTTTAAAAGATTTTTTTTCAATTAAAACAATAATATTAAAACAAACTCAACTACTCGTTTCTAATTCTTCTATGCTCGCCCACATGTGGCAGCATCACAGAGAAGAGCCATTTTCGATTTGGGTTTGGAGGCCTTTCCCCATGCAATAGCAGACGAATGCGAGATTTCAAAAATATTCAGCAATTTTTAGTTTACTTTCTTTTTAAAACTTATTTTAACATATGAAGAATAAATTGCATTCTATGCATTGAATTCACTGCCCAAAAACATCGAATCAATCAAAATATAGCAAAAATTTCACAAAACCCCAAACTTAATCGCAAAAAAACAGCCGACATACCAAAGCTCTTCTGCGAATATTTCAAAAATCCTTTAGGCAATAACCACATCATGAATTTTCAAAGCTAATTTTAAAGCTTTAACGATTGAAAAAGCTAAAAATGTAGCAAAAAAACAACATAGATCTCTTTTTTGATACCCTAAAATGAATTCGTGCTAATTCAACACGAAATACTGTGAAATAAACAGTTTGATAGTGCCTTAATGAAAACAATAAAAAAAAAACCTAATATTTTTCTAAATATTTCCTATACGCCACCAATCATTTTTGGTCGAACTCATTCCACTGCCTTGGCTCGATGACTGTAAAAAAAACTCCTTCGCCAAAGAATTACTTGGTGAGAGAAACAGATGGATGCGCAATATTAGATTTAGAATTGACTTTTAATTATAAATATTATCTCTCATCATTGTCGGTAATTTAGTGGAAAGATGACTGCCGCCGAGAATTCCCGGCCGATGCATGACGCGTCGAGCGGTAAAATCGTTGAAAGGGGAAAAAACGAAGGCAAAAAGTGAGTTATTGCTATTTTCAGCGGATGTCGAAGTTCTACATCTGGTAGGAGCGGACTTGTCTTTTCAAAAATGCGAGTGATGCTAGTAACACACCTGTACTTCTATCGCCAAATAATTCCCTGGCAAAATTTATAGGGGTCCAACAAGCCAGCGGAGGCAGTCTAACCAGCAATGAAAGCTTTAAAAAAAAAATTTATCCCTCTTCATACTTTCTACAAAATCTTTCTCGTAGCGACTTAAATTAAGCAAAACTTAAGCTATACCAACAAGAACACCAACTATATAAAAACCCCTTGTGAGTATGTGTCACCCTTCTCCAATCTCAGGTCCTCTACTAAAATCTGGGAGACTGATGAAAGATAGATAACTTTCAGAAGGCCTCGCCCAAGGATCCTTACCAGAAGAAAATGAGGACTAGCTTCAATTCGAACCAATGCTGTTACATTCCATATTAAAAACTCGCTTTATTTACTGCCCTATTCCGGCGTTCTCTACAAGAGACTTAGCGTGGAAGCCTGCATCAAAGCCTAGGCCAAAACACCACCCAATTCGCAAAGGCATAAAGAGATCAAAAACAAATCGACTGACAAAGAATTAACCAATTATATTTATTAGAAATTTTTCAAAAAATACTTTAAAAGACAAAAAACTTTGCGTGCAAAGAATATGAACGAACAAAAGAAAAAATCCTGTAAAACACAATAATGTTAAAATGGAAATGTTGAAATCCCATCGACAACATCAATTTTTTACAAGAAAAATAAAGGAAAACTAACTGAACAGTTGAAGATTTGCACATCGATGATAAACAAGCAAAGAATTCCCTTCAATATCCGCAATTATTCATAACCATTAAGATGAAAACTTCACAATTTGTTTTTCTTTTGCAGCAGAAAACCTGAAATTTGTTTTTTTTCAAACCAACTAATTATTAACTGTACAAAACAGTACATCAAATTAAACGAGCGTTATATAAACAATGGCTATCACATTTCGTAACGCGAATCCATAGCTATCGCTGCAACTATTGCCAAATTTTTTTCGTTATTTTACGCTATTTTCGAAATTACTCTATTCAGCAATCGTCGAAAACAACTAAAATAC